GTAAAACTGATATACACAGACCACGTGAGTCCTTCCTCCTCCTGCTGCAGCTGCTTGCGCTGCTGCTGCTGGTGGTGCTGCTGCTGCTCCTCGCGCGCTGCTGCTGCTGCTGCTGCAGTGGGAGCAGCCGTCCTCCCTGTTTATGTTAACTGACCCAAGAAACTCGAAACTCAGTTTTCTGCGGCGGCTGTTGCTCCTCCTGCTGCCGTCGTTGCAGCAGCAACAGGAGCGGCGTAGCATGCACAGAGGCAGAAGGCGTGTTGCTGCTGATGCTGTTGCTGCTGCTGCTACTGCTGCAAGGAAAACAGTGTACTGATGCCTCGTCAGTACTGCAAACCAGTTTTTTTATATATCTCCCCCCAGCAGACGAAAGAAGTTAAAATGCATGAAAGCCCCAGAGCAACGCATGTGGGCAGCAGCAGCAGCAGCGGCCGCCGCTGCTGCTGCTGATTCTACTACGCTGCCGGTGTTGCTGTCCTGGAGCGGCACTAGCAACAACATTTCCTTTCTTTTTTAATATAATTAACATATATAATTTATTTTGTACTAAATTGTTATTTGCCTCGGCAACGACAGTATTGCTGCTATAACCAATACATGCATGGCAACGACCGAGTACTAACGAGGCGGCAGCGGCTTTCAAGCCGAACCCCACAGGCTCGTCTGCTGGTGTCTGACTCTTCGTATTTTATTTGCGTTTTATTGTGTTTTTAATTAGATATAACTATATTAATGCAGTTAACACGAAGTAAAAATACAAAGAAAATTCAGCATGCACTGAGCAAGGCCAACCCCCCCGCTCCTCTGTCGGGTTGGTCTTGAGGTGGTGGTGGTGTTGCTGCTGTTGCTGCTGCTGCTGCTTCTGTGGTTATTGTTGTTGCCGCTGCTGCTGTTGATAAAATCATTTAATTGTCTTTCTTTAAATACATTAAATTACAATTCAAATGCAGCTGAGGTTGTTATACTCATAGGCGCAAACAATAAACAGAAAACAAGAGCCTGGCATGACCAACAGCTGCAGGAACCGGTAGCGTATCTACACCCCAGCTGCAGCTGCTGTTGTTGCTGCGGTTGCTGCTGCTACTGATGCTGTTGTTGGTGCTGCTGCTTCTGTTGGTGGTGGTGCTGCTGCTGTTGCTAGTGCTGCTGCTGCTGCTGTTGGTGCTAACACTGGTGGCTGAGAGTACAGCTCGCCTGCGTGCTGTTAGATATGTTGTTTGTAAGATGTAGTAATATAATAGAAACATTATAATGCACATAACAACTACAAAAACAACAAAAATAATAATAAATAATAATTATTATTATAGTAGTAGTGACGACGATAACAACAACCGCAATATATTAATATTAATGTTGAGACATGGTAGTAATAATAGTGGCAATAGTAACAATAACGACAAAAACAAGTAGAAACAACAAGAGTAATAATTAACAAGAGGGAAAGAAGGAGAAACAGCAAAGAAAGAGGAAGAGAAACGACAAAAGGGGAGGAAAAACAAATTCCAGAAGGGAAGTTACTGACGTGGGCTCCAATAAAAACCAGAACATNACAAAAGGGGAGGAAAAACAAATTCCAGAAGGGAAGTTACTGACGTGGGCTCCAATAAAAACCAGAACATTGTTCTCGAATTTTCATGGACATCACTTTCCGTGTGTAGATTGTTTCGTCGGCCTTATCAACATTTCGCTACGTTTCGGATCGTCGTTTCGTCCTAGACGTGGTGCCCTATTCCGGCGTTACTTTGTCATACACATATGTTGTCTGAAGCGTTCGAGCTCTAAATGCCTACACCTACGTCCAATTAATATCATGTTTATAAATTTTGCCCATTTATTTTAAGAACCAACTCTTCAAAAAGGAGTATTATCCACTCCTTAAACAGCCCTGAGGAAACCCAGGGTATTACAGTTGCTCTGGGCTTCAGCAGGGCAGGCTGAGAAACCCTGAAGTTTCTCAGAACCGAGGATGCACCTCATAGTGTTGATATAACAATAAGAATTTAGCTTTATCCCCATGAAAAAGAGTAGGAACCGCTTCAGCTATCAAGGCGGCTGGAATCATTGCGTACCCGTGCCGCATTCTAGCCTAGAGAGGAGCGGTAGACTGAGGTTTCCAATGGGATACGAAGGGAACACAAGATGAACGACCCACAACCTTAGAGGGGAAAGTCCCCCTTAAGGTTTTAGTTAGGGTTATGCTGGTAATTCAGCAGGATAATAGATATCCCAGATTGCCTTGGCGTTTCCCCTATGGCTGCGCAAAGTGACACCGATTTGATGCAAGCCCAGTTTTGCTCTTGTATTCACAGGTAGAATTCCCAGGTGAGGCGAGCCTCTAGTGGCAGCACTAACTGTCAAGGTCGATGTAAACGGTCGAACTAGAGACCGTTTCAACAGTCACCTTTCCTTAATGTGGGTTTCTGACTGCTTCAGTAGTAGGTGCAACTGGCGGTTATGCTGCGGCCTGCAATTTNTTCCTTAATGTGGGTTTCTGACTGCTTCAGTAGTAGGTGCAACTGGCGGTTATGCTGCGGCCTGCAATTTTCCGCCTACAGGGACGAAGGCAGTCACCATCAAACCTCAGAGGCAAACGTGCAAAAGCAGATGTTACCCCACCGGACAGGGGCATGCTGCGGAGATTGTACAAGTTGCAAGCTCGCGCGGTATGTGCCACAATTGCCAGGTTATTCAACTTTCGCCACGCCACCGTTGTCTCTGGTGAGACAGGGCCTCAATTGGTGCAAGGGCCTTCTCCTTGAATCGTTAAGATTTCCTTGACGTGCAGTCGCAATTTGGTCTTTCCCGAGTTGGCGCTTCCGCCCGCGCACATGCTGTCTATTAGGGTCCAGCTGCAAGCTTAGTGCCTGTCTAAAGTGTTAGTACATGCAAGAAAGAGGGCTTGGATGTGTTTGCACGTGAGGTTGCCTTGCAGCACGTGTTGCCGCGAGGCGTGCTGAAACTCATCAGGCCCGCGACCCCAGGCCATTGGATCGCAGGGCCCAGACTGTTTGGGGATTTAAAGGGGGGTATGTAACCTCCTGGAAACCCCCATCTTAAGTATTTTTGACTCTACTGCGGTTCACGAGAGCCATCGAACAAGGTCTATGGCACTCTTACACCGAGGGTCCGCTCCGCCTGCAGCACGGCGTGCGTGCTTCCTCATGGGCCCTTGCAAATGAGAATACCGAGACTCCACGCAGCCACCTATTCAGGCCTAGGGTCGTACACGAATTAGCATTGAGACAGTCATGTACACCAGCGCTGGGCAACCGACTTCTTGAGTCCAGTGACAGACACCATTAGCAGAGTGCCGACAGCTCTGCTAATAAGTCGCAAAAATGCAGTGTTGTCTTTCATTTCCGGATGCTTTTACCTAGAATTTTCTAGGAAAAGTGAAATCGTATTTACTTACATCGGGAAATTAGTCAAAATCGCAAGTTGGTGGCCTGGCGGTAAGCGGAGTACCTCCTTCGGGCAGGGGGAGCGACCACTAGCTGCGAAAGTGTCTGCGCAGCAAGGGTTGTAGTTAGAATGTGCCGAAATATCCAAGTTGTCCTTCATTTCTAAATAGTTACTCAACNGCAGCAAGGGTTGTAGTTAGAATGTGCCGAAATATCCAAGTTGTCCTTCATTTCTAAATAGTTACTCAACTATTGGAGTTGTATTTCATTACTTCGGGGCAACCCGAGTGCAGCACGCATCTATATTTCGGGGTGTTTGCTTGGACGCCGTGTCCAACGAGGGGTCTTCCACTTCACCAAAAAGTGCATACTCGCTACACGTTTAGTTCAGTTTATTCAATTTGAACTAGAATCCAGATGTTGGCTCCATTTTTATACCACTTTGCGGGTTGCGCACCGGAAATCTTCCCCTCTTTTCAGTGACGAGCTTCCCCTCTAACGCCATGCAACTGAGCAGCGTCGAATATTGCTACGGAGACTGCACGTCTGCCAAACTGATGTTAGTTCTCTGTTCAAGCATCAACCTCCTAGCACGGTGACTGCTGCCGAGCTTGGGCCGCTGCCTGAAGTGCCTCAACTACTTCACGATACCTAGCGAATCCACTGGCTGCGCACCGCAGGAAGCAAACAGCAGCTATTACGCGCGTGACAAGGAATAGGGCCCTTTTCCGCAGTGTACCTCCAAAGAAGAGTGAAAGACACGCCACAGGTTTCGGAACCCACGAAATTTACCACCATGCGAGCTGCAGACCCGCGGGAAGCAGCAGCAGCCGACACAAAGAGTCCTGCTATTTCTGTAAGCAAGTTTGAGGCCGGCAGTTTGAGTCCAGACAAGGCCCTCTTCTTGCCATCAGATTGTGCCTCTGGCAAGGTCTCACCTGACGTCCTCGCAAATATTTCGGGGACTCGCAGCAACGCACGATCACCACCGTTGCCTAATGAAGACGTCTGTGGTTTGGCCATCCCAAATGATGACGCATCTCACAATGAAGTAGAACGGGCTGTCGGAGGTGTGCAGCCTGTTGTGCTCCGCTGTAAAGACATTACTTGTGAGCGCAACGAACGCGTATTCTGACACCCTTGNTGCAGCCTGTTGTGCTCCGCTGTAAAGACATTACTTGTGAGCGCAACGAACGCGTATTCTGACACCCTTGCCATACACATAACTACGGACTACACTGCCTCAGAATTGCTAGCTCGGAGCATCTTCTTTCGGCTGTGTAACACATACTCCTTTTGGGGGTTCATATGTATCGTAGGCTGCTGCGCATGCACTGCAGACTCAGTCGCTCTTCCCCAGGAAGGCAGATGCCTCTCCAGATCATGCCAGAAACTGTGCACATGTCGAAAAGGAAGTGGTAACAAAACGGACGATGAACGTAATGAACCACCGAAACTAAGGAAGGATATTTTGTGTCTCGATGGCTTAGAGCTCGTATTCAACCCAGGAGACTGCGGTATGTCTAAGACGCTTTCGTTTGTTTACGCCTGAATCCTATTGCCACTAACATCTAGACTGCGTACGACAAGGGTCGTGACAAATGAACAGCAGTCAGACACGAAAAGTACGTTTCCCTCATGTCTCTCTGTGNTACGACAAGGGTCGTGACAAATGAACAGCAGTCAGACACGAAAAGTACGTTTCCCTCATGTCTCTCTGTGAGCAGTTGCCTTGATGGGCAGCAGCGGAGCAGGCAAGTCAACGCTTCTGAACTGCTTAAGCGGCAGGGTTTCGACGGGCCTTGGGGGAGAAGTTGAAATGAACGGCATCCCTTGCACGCCTCAGCTGTGCAAAGAGCTAAGCTGTTTCATTCAGCAAGAAGATATCATTTTTGGATACCTCACTGTGGAGGAACATCTGTTCTTCCAGGTAGTTGCTTAGCAGATCATGGTTCGCGTGCCTGCCGCAGCTCACCAACCTGCTTCTCTCCCCCTACCTTCGTGCTGCGGGCTCCTCTCTGAGGTCGTACAGTCTTCGACACCGGAGCTTCTTTTGCATCTGCCTCAGCTACTGCGTTCTGCGCTTAAGGTTCTGACACCCAGCAGCTGCTGTTTCGGGTTGAATGCGTCCGTTTGTAGGCATGCCTCCGTCTGCCGAAAGGAACAACAATGAGCGAAGCAAAACGCACTACAGATTGCTTGTTGGAGTGCTTTGGTTTAGCACACATATCGAAGTCATTTATTGGAAGTCCGCATGAAGCTGCCCGGGGGTAAACAGCTNCTTTGGTTTAGCACACATATCGAAGTCATTTATTGGAAGTCCGCATGAAGCTGCCCGGGGGTAAACAGCTGATTCGTGTTGCTTCTCACTCCGTAGAGTACACCCCTCCCCCAGACACACGGAACATTTCACAGGCCGAATACGCCCGCAAGCTGGTGTGGTTCACTCAAAGCTACATAGTTTAGCTGCGTGTAATGGCAGGTCAATTTCCGGAGGGGAGAAAAAACGGCTATGCATAGCCAGCGAGCTCTTGAGCAACCCATCAGTTATTTTTGCCGACGAGCCAACAAGTGGTTTGGACTCCTTTATGGCGAAGGCCGTCTGCGACCAGTTGGCGACTCTCGCGGCAGCTGGTTGCACTGTTGTGTGTACTATCCACCAGCCTAGCAGCTCGTGCTTTTCTTTGTTCAACAAGGTTCGACAAACCAGCCGCAAGTTGCACCTTTAGATCAGCTCCTTCCCGTGGAGATCATTTATTGCTTTTACGTTGCGCTGGAAGTCTGTGTTGCAAAATGTGTACCTCAGGTACTCTTGCTAGGGGAAGGGCGCGTTTTATACTACGGAGATCGCATGNTGTTGCAAAATGTGTACCTCAGGTACTCTTGCTAGGGGAAGGGCGCGTTTTATACTACGGAGATCGCATGGCTGCGGTTTCTTGGCTAGAACACTTGGGCTGCAAACCTTGCGGGGTCGATGCAAACATTGCGGAGTTCATCCTTAAGGCCACATCTCTTCATCATCTCGATGCACAATCGAAGACTTCTCGCTTACAGCAGTGGGCTGAGGCCTGGAAACTTGAGGGTCAAGCATTCCTTAGGAATTGGGTAGGTTTGCGTAGAACTGTTTCATTGCTTCGCCCTCATTACTTCTCTAGTTACTGCTGAACGGGACACCAGCTGCTTTTTATTATTGCATCCACGATCCAAGGTCTATTTCATGATTTTTATGTTCATCTCACACCAGTGCAGTGCTCTGTGTCGGCCAACGGCGTGGGCAGGGCACACCGGAGTGTATAACGGCTTTGTCATGGCTGCAGCTGTTGCCGTCCTGCAGGTTCCTCTCATTGCAGCTGTTGTGTTATGCACTGACAGGAAGAACAAGGAAGAGACGACTTTAAACAGCGGAGCTGCACGTTTTCTTCCATTCTCGAGCCCGTGGTAAGCGGTGCTACAGGATAGGTTCTCGGGCGGCTTCGTCATGTTGATACTGAAGTGCCCCAAGAATACGGGCTCCAATTACTGTCAATTATAATGAGCAC